TAAAAGAAAAGTAATATAATAAAATAAGAAATATAATAATAATAAAAATAATAAATTTAATAAAAGTAATAATAGTAATAATAGTTTAGATAGTAAATTAATTAATTAATAAATAAATAAATAAATAAATAAATAATAATAATATTTAGGTAAATCTAAGGTAGCTAAATAGTAATAATAAGTAGGCAATAAGATAAGGAAGTTAGGTATAGTATAAAGGGCAATTAGGATAGAAAATATTAAGTATAATTATTATTTATTTTTATTATTATTATCTATTAGGTTGCTTGCTTATATATTAAGGACTAAGGGTAATAAAAATAATTTACCTATAGCCCTAACCCTAACCCTAAAGTAAAAGTAAAAGTTTTAGTTTAATTAAGGAAGGTAAGAGGCTAATAAGTATTTAAGAGAGTTAGGCAAAGGATAAAAACAAATTAGCTAGCTATTATATTAATATTAAGCTATAAGTTAAATTAAGGCTTAAGTATAGCCTTTAACCCTAGGAGTAACCCTAAGTATTATTAAGATATAATTTATTATAAATTAGCTACTAAAATAAGTAATTTTACTTAAATCTTTATACTTAATTATTTAATACTAGGCCGAGTTGCTAATTAACTTAAATTAACCCTAACTCTATACTTAGGGTTAGCTAGTGCATTAAGTAATTAGCCTAAAAAGCCAGGCATATAGGCTATAATATCTATTACCTATAGACCGGCCACTACCCCTACAGACTGGCTACCTTATTTTTTACCTAGCTACCTAAATTATATATACTTTAAATAGCTATAACTCTATTAATTTAATTCTAATTAATTTTAAATTAATACTAATTAGTTTAAAATACCTTTTTTTATTAAAAAAAATATAAGTATTATACTTTAAATAGTTATAAATAAAGTTTTAGTAAATAAAGTAATAAAAGATTATGGCATTAATTGTTTTACTTTATAAGGTTAAATTAAAGGAAGTATAATACTAAGAGAAGCTTAAAAAAGGCAGTAAAAGCTCTTTAATATTTAGGAAAGGTATTTAAAAGATTAAATTCTTATTTAGGCTAATTTAGGATGCCTTATATTATATTAATAAGTTAGGGAGTTTACTAGTAAGATTACTATTTATAATAGCTTTTTAGAAGGTATTAAAAAGAACTAGCTTTAGGGCTTTTTAAGTTAAAATAAAGTTATTAAGACTTTAAAAGGTAAGAAAATTAATTATAACTAATATTATAAAGCTTTTACTAAATTAATAAAGGCGTTTTTTATATTATTAATAATACTAATAATATAAATAGTTAAGTAAAAGAATAAATATAATATTAATAAAGTTAAAATAATAAAAAGGATAAGAATAAATAGTCTATTTCTTAGCTATAAGTATAAAAAGTTAATACTTATTTATTAGCCTAGGTATTATTAAAATATAATTTATTATAAATTAGCTATTAAAATATATAATTTTACTTAAATTTTTATACTTAATTATTTAATACTAGGCCAAGTTATTAATTAGCCTAAATTAACCTTAACTTTATATTTAAGGTTAGCTAGTATAATATATAATTAGCTTAAAAAGCTAGGTATATAGACTTTATATATAAAATTATAGCTTATATAAAAATATTATTATTAGTATTTAAATTATTATAAATTAACTTTTTTAATTATTATAAGTTAACTTTCTAATTTAATATAAAATAAAATAATATTTTAGGCTATATTATATATTAAAGGCCTTTAGTGCCTAATTTACTGCCTAAGTCTTTAAATTACTACTTAACTCTTTAAATTACTGCCTAACTCTTTAAATTACTACTTAACTCTCTAAATTACTACTTAACTCTTTAAATCACTGCCTAACTCTCTAAATCACTACTTAAGTCTCTAAATTACTGCTTAACTCTTTAAATCACTGCCTAACTCTCTAAATTACTACTCGAGTCTCTAAATTATTACTTAACTCTCTAAATTACTATAGGTTAACCCTTTAATTACCTATACCTACCTTCTAAATTACTATAGGGTAACTTACTAGATATTCTGTAATTATACCTGCTATAGCTCTATAAGCCCTAATAGCATCCCCTGTATTGTTTAGTAACTAATAAACTAATTTTAGTAGGGAAATAAAAGGACACTAATATAACATAAGGCAGCTAATAAACTAAATCTAGGGTAACTAATAAACTCCAGTTTGCCTATAATAAGTAATATAATCTATATAAAAACTTATAGGTTTATAAATTACTATTATAAGATTATAATAAAATGCTTTTTTCCTTAAATAAATATTTTAAATATAATTAAGTATTAGATTTAACTATAAATGCTAGATTTAATATTACTTAATTAGTAAGGGTAGCCTATATACAGCACCTAATTAGGAGCTTACCTTAACTACTGCATAGAGATATAGCAGTTATACTTATATTAGCTATTATTAATAGAAGAAAAGTAAGTTTACTTAAGAAGTAAGTAAAAGGGGTTTAATAAAGTTGGAAAAAAGATATTCTTTAATTTATTCTTACTTATATTATGATTAATACTGCTATTAAATATTAAGTTAATATAATAAAATATTTTAACTATATAAATAACCTATGCCTTTTATATTATAAGTTATATAATTATATAGTTATATACTAAAGAATCTAAGTATATCTTTATAATAAACTATATAAACTTATAAAGAGGGAAATTAATAAAGTTAAGTTATAGGCTAAAGCACTTAACCTTATTAAAAGCAATAAGGAAATATTAGCTCTGCTGCCTATTCTGGATATTAATTAACTAATTAAAGCACTTAGTAAGCCTAAAAGCAGAGGGTTTTAATATACCTTTACTATAAAATGCCAGACTGTAAGTATAAACTTAAGATAAAAAAATAAATACCTTAGGAAAGTGTATAGCATTAAGCTAGACCTAAAGCCTGGTCCCTAAAAGGCTAGTACTATTAAAATAAATATAGACTTGCCTTACTAGAGAGGTAATATATTCTATTAGCAGCTCTTTGCCAAGGGTCTATATAGCAAATACTTTAAGGTTATAAGAGGTTATAATTTAAAAAGTCTAGATGCTAAGTAGGTAAGGGCAGAGCTTGCCGTTTAATAGGCTATATAAGCCTTTTAGGCAAAGTTTAAAAAGGCCTAAAAGAAAGAGATAAAGGTTATTAAAGAAATAGGTAACTTAATAGCACCTAACTTATAGCTTTATTAATTAGGATTAATAGCCTACTTAAAAGATTTTAGTAATAAAAAACAATTCCTAAGAGACCTTATCTTATTAAAGTATATTCTAAAGCTAGATAACCCTAAGGATAATTCTAAGCTCTAATATATATATAGCTATTAGATATTTAATTCGAAAAGCTTCTAGTATAGCCAGGCCTAATACAGTCTCCTAAAACATGTTATTTAAGGTTAACCAGAAAGAACTATATAAAGAGCATAGTATACCCTTTTACTTCTAGTTTAAGCACCAGACTTAGAAAAAGTATATCGCTATCTATTTTTAATTCTTTACCTATGCCATTTAGGCTATATCTTATAAGAATATAGCTAATTAATTACTATTTAAGCTTACTAAGGGCTAAACTACTACTTTTAATATAATAATAAACTATACTATAAAACTTATTAATATTAAGAATAAGATTAAGCCTATACCGGCATTATTACAGATTAATAAGTTATATAAACTCCTTAAAAATACTATACTTATCTTTTATATCTCTATTCTTAACTACTTTACTAAGGCAACTAAGTATAATAATATACTTATTAGCTTCTTAACTATATTAAGTATTTAAGATAATAAGACTTAGGAAAATTATATAAACTTTACCCCTAAACTCTTAGCTATTATAGCTATCTCTTAAGTATTTCTTATAAAGTATATAGTTAATAAGAGGGCTTTATATATTTAATAAAGAATAAAGCAAGGATAGACTAGATAAGAAGCTAAGGAGAAGAGTTTAAGGCACTTTAAAATTATATTTAAGATAATATACTAGTTTTTAGTTAATAGCGCTAAGGGTTAAGATACTATACTAATATAATTTATTATTTAGCTTTATAATTATAATATAATAGCTAGCAGTTAGCAGGCAATGCCAGGTTTAATTAGTTAGGATAATAAGGATATAATTTATAAAGGCATCTATATTAATATCCTTAAGGTCTAATTTATACTACAGGCTACTTTATAAAGAGCTAAGATACTGCTATATAAGTATTTACTTTTCTATAAGGAGTATAGGGTTATATTAGGCTATGGAAAGCTATCTTGCTTAGGTCATATGGGGATATGGAGGTTAGGGTTGATGCGTGAGTTCAGAGAACAAAAACTTCTCAAAATGGGCCAAAAGCCAAGTATATGATAGAGCGAGACAAGCTTATTTTGATGAAACTAGACCCCGATTTTTCTCAAGTCTGTGGAATAAGTTATGATGATTCAGAATATTTAGTCGATTGATTCTAGTCAAGTTGGTTGATGACAAAGAATTTCTTGGCTCACGATAAATTCAAATAGGTATAGCGACGACCCACTTTGAAAGTCTTGGCTCACGATTAATTCAATCTGGTTTAGCGCGAAAACCTGGTGACACAATTTCGCGACCTTTCCTGATCAGTTGAAACCTATTACCCTAAAATCCAAGGCGACGAGGGGGAGAGCTACCATTCAATTGGCCTGGTAGCTTCATTGAGTCCTCAAGCCTTGACGAAATAGGGAGTCATATGCTAGTGCAAAATATCGTACAAAGACTTACAGTGCGTAGCTCTCTTTGCGATAATTCTAAAAAGAAATGTCTCGAGGTTGTTTGTAAGGCCGGGCCTTATTGGGCGCCAGCACCTTGGAAGGATGCCGCGCTCTTGTTCATTGTTTTTGCTTTTTTTAACGCGATTATGTAAACTACGAGCCCAGCCAGAAGACGCGTCTCGCAGATCTTAATGTTATGGAACCCATTTCCGTTGCCATCAGAGATCAAGCAAGATAATGTCTCAACCAGCCCCTAGACGTCGTGGTCGACCCAGGAAGACAGAATCTGAAGAAGCGCGGGTCGCTCGGGAGCGTGCTCTGCAGCGCGTACGATCACAACGATACTACGAACGAAAACATCAGCAAGCCGTGCAGCCCTCTCTCCCGCCCGCCGAACTGCACCAAACAGAATTCGTGCATTACCACCATACGTTGTCTCGGCAGTCACCAGCTGCATCGTCAACGGACCCGAGTACCGGCTTCCACCTGGAGTCGCAACTCCACATTCCCATACCAGATGAAGATCCACTGCCGGTCGAGTCTACTTTGATCGATCACGAACCAAGCGGCGTAGAGGTGGATTCAGCTGAAGGACCGTGTGATCTACCATCTGTGGAGGATGATGATCCACATACGGGTAATGCAACGCCCCAGTCTCGCCAAGTTATAGAAGAACAAACGACTCATTTCAGCCTGGGCACGCAATCTATCCCTCATTCAGGTAAGTCTCTTCATCTCACTCCCGTGCGAGATGCCTGTCAAGAATGGTTTCGCCTCAAATCCCTTGAAGCACCATCTCGAGTCCTGGCTACAACCCGCATAACTGACCCTGATTATAGCTTCTCTTCACCATATTGATGACGTCGCCGATGGCCATGATGTTGAGGATAGATCCTATGGCATCCCCGAATTTACCAATCACCGCCCTCAAAATCCGCCGCCTTCAGAGAACCCAATCCCGAGGCTCGAGAAACATCTTGCTCAGGAGTGGATGATGCATCCAAGCTGTTCAAGAGAAGAACATGATGCAGACCACGGGAAGTTAATCGAGACTGCTTGCCACCGTTCTTGTGACTCACTAGAAGATGTTATCGCTCGGCTCGATGGATTGATGAATGATGATCATAGCCATGACCCCCTACCGCATGTCACTGAACCCACTTCTGATATTCTCGATCATGCTTCTTCGGCGGACGATCCTTGCAGTAATAACCTGCCTCACAATTCTAATTCACAAGAGCACACAAGCTCGCGTCAACGTGATTACAGGGCAGCTTGCCAAATCGCTCTTGAAGGATCTCTATGCGGTGGCGTACCACCGAGTCTTTGCTTGGAAGCCAAACATCGCCTTGCACAGCCTTTTACAGATAACTTCATCCGAAAAACGTACGACGTCGACAGCATATGTAGTTTCCCCTCGTCCTTGGCTGTCGCCAGGTTGGGTATTCAGTGGTACCCGCAACCACATGTTATCTTCAACCTCACGGATGACGTTCACATCAGCCTCGACATCCCTACCGAAGGCTTTCATCGCAACAATCTTCAGCCGCGAGGGAGTTGCCAGCAACGACGTCTATTACATCATATCCCAAACTATTGCTTTGGACGGGTTCAGGGCTTGATAGATACATTCATCTGGGTGTTCTTCCCTGCTTTGTGCCATCGCCACATACATGATAACTCCTATAAGCGGACTTCAATTCCCAAGGAGCAATACACATTATGGTATGATAAGGTCCTATTGCCAGCGGTTGTAGCAGCAGTTCAAGATCCAAGCATACTCCAGTACATTCCCCCAAGCCGCCGAGTCGCTCAATCTACGTCACGCGCTCGACAGGAGGGTATCTCCACTGAGTGTCTTACAGGTGCAAATGCGAGTATGGATGTGCTTGGTCAAGGCACAAGGAGCAACGCACTCTCATACTCACTTCAACACAGACACCTTGGGGCGATATGGCAGGAAATTCAATCGCGAATAATAGCATTTCCACAATTCGCTGGCGTAAGACTATACATGGGGGCGAAGAACCTGAAGCTTGCATACATGCACTTGGATATCGCTCAGACCCTCAGTGATTTTGACAATCAATGGAATGCCGCTGTTGACAAGAAATTCCTCGATCCAGACTGTACATTTATCGACATTGGTCGTCAATATACCCCTCAAATTGGGTCTGCTGCTGAGTCTAATGTCCTTATTTGGCGCCGCTGCTGTCTGAGACGACTATGGCGGCAGCGACAAGCATGGAGTCGTCAGTACAACACGGCGAAGCCTGACGAACATAACCACTCACAGTCTTTTGAGCCACGTCAATGTGGCGTCTCAACCCTTCGTCAAGCTGAGTACCCGTTCGTCACCACGCGCGACGCGGCCGACATGACAATCACACCCACCCACAATAGCCGTGAGGCTCGTGAAGGTCTCCTCTATAGCCAGTTTTATAACCTCGTCAAGATTCCTTTTGATGCCGCCAAACAGTACCCGTTTCAGAACCCCCAGCTCGAAAAGATGGCTCTGGATCCTTCCTACCTCGCTGATTGTGAAAAGTCTACCCGTGGAAGTCATGCAAATCAAGCTTCTCTCAAGCTCGCTTATCGATTAAGCAAACTTCGGGTTCGAGCTGCCTTGATTCCAAATGGTGAAGACGAGATCCCAGTTCCGTTCGCATATGGCGTTCGAGCTGAGGATCGCCTCTCTTGGGCGCTTCTACAACGTATACTCCCTCACTTGGCCCCCTCGCAGACAGCCGTCTCGGCTGTCCATGAAGAGGTTACGCCCGACCTGGAGCCACCTTTTTTCGCCATACAGTCAAGAACCATGGCACGCTTCCTACATAGCCATATCAATAGGTATTGTTTCCTCTTCGAGCACATCAAGTCTCAGACTGGACCCAGTTACTCATTACCAGAGACTGCTGTTATGGCAATGGCGCTCCGTAGCCTCCGTTTCAGCATGTCTGGTATCATCGCAAAGGAACCATTGTTGTGGAGAGATCGATGGAGACAGGGCCGCAGTACTACACCACAAAACGATCAGCAGCAGGGTGACGAAGTAGAGCTAGAAGGTCTAGGCTTGTACAAATCTTCAAGGGACTATGGGCTAGGCTGGTGGCTCCCAGGTAAATTTGATTGGGATAAATGGCGCTTCAAAAATGATGTTGGCGATCGAATTATTGCGAACCACCATATCATACAACGCGATTATGGTCGTCAATGGAGGGTTATTCAGGACATTCGTGATGTCCATGCACGCATGTGGCAGGCCTATAAGTGGGCTCAGCATTACTCAGTTCGAGAACGGCCAGTCAATCGGGGCATCTGGCTTGAGTACCTGTACAGTACTGTGATCGAGCTCTTCCAATGCGACGTCTGGTCCGAAGCCGTCAAGAGCCTCGACTGGACGACAGGTTCTGACCTCAACGAGAAGGCGGCCACTGAATTCTCTAAATCTGACCCCCCAGATTATTGCTACGATGTTCTACAAGACTTGTTCCACGATCGACGCCGGAGTATCAGTCACACTCGACCATATCTTCTGACGGGTAACAAGGTTCGTTCACTGGATATCTGGGACCTTGTATGTGACCTCTTGGGATTTGATCTCCATGAAGGACGACTTGAACCACGAAAATACCATAAAATCACTCCTTATCGTATTGCTGTGCGGCGCAGTTTTGAGGTCATAAGTGAAGTCCTAGGGTGCGCAGAAGCGTCTCGTTGGTTCATGAAGCTTGGTCGGCTCCTTTTACTGACACATTGGATACTGCCTTGGCCATCCACTACAAATATCATTTCTACCACAAAGGAGAGCCGCAAGAAAGGCCTTAAACGGAGACTGATCTGGGTCTCTATTGTTTACGCCACTCCCGATCTATTACGTCTGTACAGCTGTCGTTCTACCGTACCTATTTGTCCTATGGAGGACAGGGAACGCCAGATCACAATAAGAGACAAGCTCTGTGAAACCATGATCACAACATCAGCCAGGCGCTTCGGAACGTCTGGATGGACACCCGAGTCCGACCCGTTGGACAGACGTTTTCACTGGACCCCTGATGATCTTCTTCAATGTACCGCTACTACACTTTTTGTTGATGCTTTCAACATTGGTCGAGCTGTTGAGCCCTGTAGCAATGGGAAGATCTACCCCCTTGCTGAACGGGGCCGACCACCGATATTGAGGCTAGTGAAACGTATACGTAATAGCACACTTGAGGAGTTAGATCAGTTATTTAGCGAACTCATCAGGATCGTACAGACCGAGTCCATGGACAAACAAGCTGGGAACAGCTCTATGCCGTTAGGTTGCACGATCCCCTGCTTAAGTCAGTCTTCCACTGGCTCTAACAACCGGATGACACGGCATGGATTCAGCCATCAGAAGTCTGCCCTTAACTGTGACCAAACAGCAGACGAGGACACAATAGAATCTAAATCTGTCGAGAGGGAGAGCGAGAGCGTAAAGAGCAATACAAGTGATAGCGACTCTGCCGATTCAAGCGGGTCATGGAAACCTCCCATACGTCTAAAGCGCGCGCTTAGGTCTCGAAAATAACATCATGCCTCACGTAATATTGATAACGTACTCAAGCTTACCGCGCGGAGATCCCAAAAAATTCGCCTCCACAATGTCCCCAACTACTGCCTTGGACGTGTCATTGGCCTTGCGGATACGTTCATCTGGGCCTTCTTCCCTGCCCTTTTCTCCGGCAAGCTCTCCGATCCTTACAGCCAGACCTGTATTCCCAAAAAGAACTTCGTGCACTGGTACGAGGAGGTGATGCTGCCCGCCATACAAGCTGTTGTCGATGACAATAACATACTCCAGTATATCCCAAAGACACATGCCATCGCGTCTTCGGACTGCAGTGCGCCCCGGGAAGCGTTAGTAGCTCTGGCGGTGGCGGAGGAAGATGAGGCCGATATGGAAGAAGAACTGGATGGGTTTACCGGAGCGAAAAGACGAGACGGTCCGGCCGCACAGCCGGGGTCACGACGCAAGCACTTCTACGTCACGCTTCAGTCCCGCTACCTCGCAGCTTTATGGGAGGAGATACATTCCAGGGCTGCTCTCTGGCCTGAATATGCAGGGTTGCGACTCTACATGGCTGCTAAGAACACCAAACTGACATGGATGCGGCCCACGTTCGAGTCGGCACTCGCGGAGTGGCAGCACCACTGGAATTCTGCGGTTGACGAGGCGTACATTGATCCGGATGTCACTTACATTGACATCGGCCGCCAGATGACGCCGGCCGATACAGGACCACATGGACGCGTACTTATCTGGCGCCGTTGCTGCATGGATAGGCTCTGGCGTCGCCGGCTACAGTGGAGCCGGATCCAAAATCGGCTGTATCATCGTGAGGAAGACGCTTGCAAGGACGAATCGGGCAAACGTCAGGCTCCGCCAATCCGCAGGACGACCTATCCGTTTGTCACTCTTCGCGATGCGAGAGACATGACCATCACTCCTAGTTCATCAAGCTGGGAGCTTCGAAACGGTCTCGTGTATAGCCAGTTCTACAACCTCATCAAAGTTCCCTTCGATGCAGCTAAGCAGTACCCGTTCCAGAACCGCCACACCGAGAGCATGGCGCTAGACCCATCGTATCTCAGAGATCAACGTAACTCCACACGAGGGGCACATGCCCACCAGTCCCGAGTACAATGTGCCTACCGTCTGAGCAAGCTCCGTATTCATCGCAACGTTCCTGCTGTCGACCAGGATGATGATGATGATGATGATGATGATGAGATACATCATGAAGAATCAACACATCACCCATTCACATATGGTATACGTGCAGAAGACAGGGTATCATTGGCCCTTCTACGGCGTATCACTGGTATGTTCTCATCTAGCCCCCCGCAGGATGGGTCAGGCGATGATGAAGAAGATAAAGAGAGGGACCATCCATTCTTCTCCGTTTCTTCTCAAACGATGGCCCGTTTCCTCCGTGCTAGCGTCAATCGATATTGTTTCCTATTTGAGTATGTAAAATCGCAGACCGGCTTGAAATATTCACTTCCCGAGACTGTTGTTATGGCAGCAGCGCTTCGTGGACTTCGGTTCAGCTACGATTGTTCCCTCATCGCGAAAGAATCGGTACTCTGGGGAGATAGATGGACGTCGACGCAGCGCGTGAGAGTTGAGGGTGGGGAAGCGCGGATCGTCAAGGTAGAGCGAGAAGGGCTAGGTCTGAACAAGACGTCTAAGTCGCACGGATTTGGCTGGTGGCTACCAGGGAAGTTTGACTGGAATACCTGGCGGTTCGCTTCCGATGTTGGCGATCGACTCGCCGTAGGTAACGACCTCCTACGCCAGGATTACAAGCGTCAATGGAGAGTCCTCAAGGATATTCGAGACGTTCACGTTCGCATGTGGCAAGCCCAGAGTTGGCTAGGGCGATATCGAGTGCAGGACGACGCGGCGGCAAAGAGACTGTGGCTCGAATACCTGCACTCCACAGTCATCGAGCTCTTTCAGCGGGATGTCTGGCGTGTGGCCTTGAAGAGTATTAGCTGGAAGACGGGCTCTGATGTGACGGACGAGGCGTCGATGAGCTATCCAGTGTCTAGTCCACCAAGCTTATGCTACGATGGGCTATCGAACCTGTTTCACGACCGTCAACGTGATGTGAGCCACACGAGACCGCACCTTGTCGCCGGAAACAAAATACGGTCGACAAGCATGAAGGATCTCTTTGATGACCTATTCTCGCCGAGCTCTACTGGCACGGCTATGAAGCGTCGGAGAGGGTGGGCTTCGCTGCCCTACCGTATCGCAACTCGTCGAAGCATCGAGCTCGTGGAGATGGGTCTTGGGGCGGCGGCCGCAACACAGTGGTACGCACAGCTGAGGCGGATTGTGCTATTGACGCATTGGATTCTGCCCTGGCCATCAGACACAGAGCTTCTAACGACGACAAAGGAAAGCCGGGCTACCAATCTCAAACGCCGGCTTACCTGGGCCTCGATTATCCATAATACCCCATTGGATAAGTCCACAAGGCACCACGAACCAGCTATGCCAACGCGAAAAGTCAACGACGTAGATCGCCACGTCTCTGTGCAAGATAATCTATCGCAGCTATTATCAGAGGTATGCAAGCGTCGTTTCGGCATCACTGGGTGGGTGAATAGCTCAGATAATGCAAAGCCGTGCTACCACTGGTCTGCCGGGGATTTAGTCAGGAGCACGCGTGACTGTATTGACATTGATGCACTTCAACTTGGCCGTGCGGTTGAGGCGTACAACAGGGGTTGTATCTTTCCCGTCGTAGAGAGAGGCCATCCGCCCCAACTACGGATGGTTACACGCATCCGGGATAAGACTCTAGATGAACTCAGTCGATTGTTCGAGGAACTGTTAGAGGCAGGCGATGTCGACCCCAGCTCTCCAGTTGCGAGCATCACACCCGAAATCGGACAATCTCGCATGTTTTCGCGTTCCGCGACACGACAAGCCGAGCAAGACGCTGCAAGAGATCTGGCAGCACAGTCACGAGGATGTCGTTATCTGCAGCTACTAGCTAGGAAATATCCACGAACAGCGGATGAGCGGGAAAGGCTCCGGAGATATTTCCGACGGCGTGGCCGTGTACGAGCTGGCAAGGCTGTTGCCAATACGGATTCGATCCATTCAGGCGACACGAGTTTAACCGCGCAGACAGATGAAACGGATGGGTCGTGGAGGCCACAAAAACGTTTGAGAAAGGCAGTCAGAGATCAGATGACAGCCAAGCTAGAGTAATGTAGTAATCACTGTGAAGATCAGTCAAGACGGGCAGAGGCTTCTCCATAATAGATAGTGCAATAGCTACCTTTCATCCTTATGGCGAAGATAACACTAGTTTGAGGTGCACTGTCGAACCAGACGGGGGTGGGCGGCGTGAACGTATGCAGAGCGTACATGATGGGGTGAGAACTATGATGTACTCTCTTGCGCAATTTTAAGGCTACCTTTGTAGCGCACACGTGCATAAGTTATGATCGCAGCAGGCGACGGATAAAAAAAGCAAGTTGTTAGGTCCCAAAGCCTGGACAAGGTTTGTTGCCCAGCTAGAATAAGCCGTCGAGGTTTAACGGGAAATTAGGCAGTTTTGGCCGGCACCATACTTGGACCGATGTTTCAAAACCGACATCATACTCGACCCAAAAATTCTGTAAAATAATACACACCAAGTGAAGGAAAGAACTCCGACGCAATACTAAATACTAGATAGCCTAAGTCGAATATGTACTTTACGGTGGTTGAAGAGTAAAATACGTAGCGGCCACGGAATGGGTTGTTTGGTACAGGGTAGTTCGTTGAGTGTTGAAAAAATGAATTACCAGTAATAATATTCGGAAAAACCACGTCGCGACTCCAGCATCATCACCACCACTCCAACATGTATTTCTTCACGTAAGATGGGCGAAAAGTTATGTATTTGTGTTAAACAGTACAAGTCGAACGAAAACATACTTCAATATATTTCCCCAGAGTATTTCATGCCACGACGAGTCCCTTCTTCCTCGAGCCGGCTCAGCAATATATTTTTTGCGCCGGGAGTGGATGCATCTTCCTTTAAGATAAAAGGCACAGCGATTTCCTCAATAAGGTCACAAAACTTATGGATATCGTCCTTCTTAATGTCCCGTTTTGAACGGCAGACGAGAAGAATGCTTCGTTGCAGTCACAATTACGGCAACTAGGATGATGACCAAGGCCGGGGGGGGGGGGGGCAGGGGTAGCTGCAAGGGTTGGCTGGGCGGGTTCAAAAGGGAAGCAGTCCCCCAAATTTTGGAGCGGACCATTTCTCCACTTTCAACTACAGCCAAACTCAGAACAGGAAGAGCAGCGGCCATATTATGAATATGGGGATATACAGCAGCGAAGCGAGAAGGGTTGACGATCAGGTTGACAGATTCAATCAATTGGGTTTAAGTTTATTATTAACATATGCCTTTTCTCTTTTTTCTCTCTCTTTTCTTTTTTTCTCTCGTTTTTCTTCTTCTTCTTCTTCCTCTTCTCCGGCTCTTTCACTCCGTTGAGATTAGCCACAGTCGACCCTCCCCAATCTATGTCTCTCAAGTCGGGGCTGTAGAGACAATTGTACTACCGTGATGGTTTAGGCAATTGATCTTAGGATTAAGGGAGCAGACGGGTAGCCCAAGGGGGATATTAGTGACGTCTGCGGTTTTTCTTGGCTGGTCGCCTTGCCCATATATGCAGTGCATATTGAGCTCGGAGGGTTCCTATCCGAGGCGATTCATAAATGGATTCATGATCAACTGGTTGTCTGTTCCCTATTAGACTGGAAAGAGATTTTTGCAGTCACGGCTTGGTGTTCTAATAGGGAAACCTAGGCTCTCGCTGCTGTAGGATGAGCAGGGCGGCCAAGCGGCTGATTAATCTCGTCTCAGTTGCCGGTATGGGATATGAGATGAGATAGGTAGGGGCTTGGATTTGAAGGGAAGGGGAACATCTGGGGTATCGCTTTGATGTTTTACCCGTAGCCCTAAGTCTAAAGCACAAGCACAGGTTTTGGATTGGATTGGATTGGATTGGATTGATCGAGAAAGGTAAGAGGCCAGCTGTTGGGGTTAAGGGGGGGAAGGCAGACTTTTCGCTCTCCGAAGGGAGAGTCTTGAGAGTAGTTTTGTAGTTGTTGTCGGTGAGGACTCCAGTGCCTGGTAGTAGTAGGGAAGCCACTGACGGGTGACGCGGAGGGTTATCTGGGTTAGTTAGTCAGGGTTTCACAAGGGGGGTCAGGGTTGAAGGTTGAGGGTCTGCACAGTGCGATACAGTGTATTTTCGCACGGCCCTGAATAGGGCGTAGACTAGGTATAAGTATAGTGCAAAACAGAAAAGACAAAAAGGACTTTTTAAGACTTTGGGCGGGTGGGTGTACCGCTGTACGCGCGCGAGCGCGTGTTTAGCACTCGGCAGAGGCGCGGTAGCGCAAGAAAGAGAAAGAGAAAGTTGTGAAGAAACGACGGCAGTATCTAGGGATACACAGTGCATACAGTGCTAATCATCAGCGGCCGGCACTGTGTCGGGTTAGGGTTAGGGTTAGGGTTAGGGTTAGGGTTAGGGTTAGGGTTAGGGTTAGGGTTAGGGTTAGGGTTAGGGTTAGGGTTAGGGTTAGGGTTAGGGTTAGGGTTAGGGTTAGGGTTAGGGTTTAGGTTAGGTTTAGGGGTT